GCGACCAGTTAGCTCAGCTGGTCAGAGCGTCATGCTGATAGCACCACAGTTGCCAGCTGGATCCTCTCATGGGCCACTGCGAGCTGTGAGAGTCAACGATGCCACTGTAGCATGAAAGCAATGTGTAACCAATGACCATGGCTGTTCCCCAATAAAATAAAATAAAAATAAATAAAGTTAAGACAGACTAGGGCTCAGACAGAACCAAGCACTAAAAATTACCATAAGGTATGTGGACTTCAACTAGAAGTACATGAAGTCATAGAAAGTTTTAAAGTAGTAAGTCCTGTGCAAAAAGGGCAACCAATAGCAGAGTAGGTCTATACCAGTGTTTCTCAACCAGAGGCAATTTTTCCCCCAGTGGACATTTAGCCATTTTGGGCATATAGTGGGTAGAGGCCAGGGATGTTGCTAGGCATCCAACAATGCACAGGACCGCCTCCCACAGCAAAGAATTATCTAGTCTACAATGTCAACATTGTTGAGGTCGGGAAACCCTGAAGTACATTATGGGATACTGTGAAGAGCATTTTCTCAGAAATGTATTAGGTTGTCAGAAAAGTCATGACGAATTTTTGCAATGAAAAACAGAAAAAATACGTCATGACTTTTCTGACAACCCAATATTACTTACTTCACCATGACTGCTCAGACAGAAACAATTTGGTTGCTCTTTGAAATCCTATAAAACATGTTATTCATATAATTTAAAAAATATAGGACTCCTAATTTCATGCTAAGCTAAAACTTCCCCCATTCTGGGATTCATATATAGTCAACAGATGAATAATCAACATAATTTAAGTCCATTCTAATCAAGTAAAGTACTAATCAACAGTTACAAGAGTCCCTACCTATCCACCTTTGCTATACTATAGAATTGATGTAATAAGTCAAGTGTATTTTGTAAGAGGGGGTAAAAATGAATTGTGGTCTGTCTGTTCAGGTTTAAAATGGAAAAACAATAAAGTAATTCTGTTTTTCTGATAAAATGTTTTTGGTTTTGGTCATATGGATATTTGTCGAATGAATAGGAATAGTGGAAAAGAGGGAGAGAATTAATGCAAAGGTTCCTGTGTTCTACATACCTCTCCATTTTACAAATTGCAATACTGACTCAAAGAGGATTATTAACCCGCTAGTATACAGGTAGTAATACTCTGGTTTCTCTTCAGATGGCATAAATCTTTTGTCTTTTACAGGTAGTAAGTTGTAGGTAGAGCTGGGACATTGAAACTTATCTCTTGGAACCCTGAGGCCCATCCTGTCTCTACTACAATTGGGAATAGGCAACTGTTCTCTATTTCCAATGAAAACAGAACAAAAATATGTGACTTTATGTATTACATATTTATGTAAAAAAATCTAAAATTTCAACCTAAAAGTTGGGATACAGAACCAGATTGTGAAGGGAAGCTACAGAATTACCTTCCTCAGGGATATTTAGGAGTTGGAAAAAAAAGTATCTGTAGATACTGACAGCTGGGATAGGTAGGTCCTGGGAATCCAACAGTTTGACATTGTATCTGTCCCTGATTTGTTCCTAGGCAGATGATGGGGTTATAAGTATTAGCTACAGAATATTGGGTCTGAACAAGTTACCAAGTTACTTATTATTCCTATGTCTGTTTCCTCATTTGTTTAATGGGGATAATAACAAACCAGTTTATAATTATTTTGAAGCTTGAATGAGCATGTAATACAGTGCCAGACCCCATAGTTCACACTCAGTAAATATTAGGCATTGTGTAATTATTAATAATCATGTATTTGTTAGCAATAGACCACCTCCAATTAAGAATGGCATAGCAGAATATTTATGGACGTGAAAGTTGACTATAGGCTATTAAGCAAATTAAAAAGTAAACAAGTTACAAAACAGTAAAGATCATTTTTAAGCGAAAAAAATATGGATTGAAAAGTCTGTGGATAGGCACCATTTATCACTTTATGTAATTTAGAATGTGCACATATGAATTTTGCCCATTCAACCCGAGTTAGAGGACATACTCATTTTACTGATGAGAAAATTGTGGCTTTTAAGTGATCTGTCCTATTAGAGAGTTAGGGTTGAGGCTGCTTTAGCTGAAGACCTCACCACCTCTCACTTGGACCATTACAATTCCCTCCTGCTTGTGGTGTCACCTCTTTCCAAGGCACCTTCCACCCCAATGCCAGCGTGATCTTTAAAACTACAATTCACATCTATCACTTCCCTGCTTAAAAACTTTCACTCATAGAAAACAATTTCAACTACCCTTGGTTGCCTCAGATCCTTCTGGTCACTGTAGCTCCTGTTTCAGGCATATCTCTTGCAAGCAACCCCACGGACAATTCACTCAAGGTTGCCTTTTTGCTGCCATCTTACCTTTACCTGGAAAGCCCTGCCCTGTCGGGTTTATCTGTTAAATTTACACTCTTCCAAACTCAACTCAAGAGAGCCCTCAGGCTCCAATAACTTCACACACCAGGCTGTGAGACCCTCAAGGTCAGGCTGGGTGCTATTCACCTTCTAGTTGCATGGCCCAGAACAGTGCCTAGCAGAATAAGTACTTGACATTTGTTACACACACACACACACACACACACACACACACACACACACACACACGACAAACACAAATTTCAACCTGGCTGGTGGCTTGAAAGTGACCTGGGAGATGTTCCTAAGCAACGGAGGACACCAAAGGAAAAGTTCAAAGGTGAAGTGATTCGCGTGTGTGAAATAAGATAAGGCATGCCTCCGGCACCAAGCAGGGAAAGGGTGTAACTTCTCTACAGTTTGTCAGGTCATCTGGCCTCCACCATTTATTATAAACCACCCAAACGGGCACGCTGCATCAGATCTCGGGAACTCGGTATCCCTTCCTTAAACTAGAGCATTTTATCCTTAACAGGGTTTTAGGATTAAATGAGGCTCTGCACTGTTCTCGCTTAAGGTGGGGTAAAAACACTGGTCTGGGAGTCCCGTAATTCTGTCTCCATTTCTAATTAGATGTATGGTTCTGAGCAACTCACTCGATGAAGGTCTGTGTCCTCATCTACCAAAAGGGGATGGACCCAGAGATGATCTGGATGATCTGCTAGGCCCCGCCCTGCCTTATGAATGGACGATTCATCCCCTAAAGGGACTCGGACTTGTGCAGGACCTCCATCGCCACCTTCCGATTCCTTAGTCCCCACACGATCCAGACCGATTCTTTCTTTTCGTCTTTGCCCGGTAGGGCCGTTGGGCACCACGGAAAGCCCCAGCCCGGCCTCCCGGCCCCACTCACCGGCTTCTCCTCGCCCCCCATCATCCCTGAAGGGCTGCTGGCCTTCTCCTCGGACATGGACGGATCACGAAGAAAAGACAGAACCCGAAAACTATGGTCTAGAGACGAAAGCGGAGGGCCGATCAGAGGTGGGCTGGGGCTCCCGGGAACACTACGCTCGAGCCACGTGGCCCGGAAGGGACAGCTGATGCAATCTGAAAGCGCCCAAGCCCCGCCCACTAGCCGACGGGCAGCCAATCGACAACGGAGAAAGGCGGGCTCGCCCTTTTCTAAACCAATGGAAAAGCTTGTTGGGTGACAGAGCCCTTCTAGGAAATCGGGGCGCGGCGGGTCTGAGGAGAGGGTATTGCTGACGCTAAACCTGCACTCCGCCAGCCCTGGGCTGGACCCTTTCCTGAGCCGAGAAGTCCTCAATACGCGTGCGTCTTCTTCCAGTCTAGGGCCTTTCCGGTCACCGTAGCGAATGAGAGGGCCTCGGTTTGAGCCTTCCGGAAGTCCCCAGCGTCCCGAATTGCATCCCTGGCCTGGGACAGTTCGGAGCAGAGGGCGGTTTCTTGAGGCTTCGGCGCTGCCTGACCTGGCGTGACTGCCGAGTGCAAGGGACTTCCCAGGGTCCCCAGGCTGTAGCGGTGATTCGAGCCCTCTGCATGGCAATCCAGGCTTCCCAAGACCCAAGCCTTGGTGATTCAGGGACGTGTGCCTTTCCTCCGACATTCCTTACTTAATACATGCCACTGTCAATCTACTGCATCAGGAGCATTTCCACAGGGCCCATGAAAATGCAGTGACATTTACTTAACGGAAATAACCGCGGTACATCCACGGATTCTCACGCATAGGTCTCAGTTTTGGGACTCGAATGGGCTTGTTTGCATTTATTTTACCAGCCAATTTAAAATAGTTTCTAATTTGAAATCAGAAGTGCAACGAGTGCGTTTACTGTTTACATACTCCACTAAGTTTTACGGATTTTACTTTCTAAACATCAGTCCTTAACAACTCTCCACCTTAGGGTCATCCCTCCACGAAGAACAATAGTCTCCTAAACTGGCTTTCTGCATTCGTTTTTCACAGGGCACCAGGACAGTCTTGTCCAATACAAACATGACCACAACTTCCTGTGTAAAACGCCTTATTGGCTGGCTTTTAGTTGCTCCTAGAATAAAACACAGCCATGACTTTCAAGGCCCCGGATTGCCCAACTTTCTGGCTATCTCACCTTACACTGAACTCTAGCCATAGCAAGCTTATTTTTCTCAGGCATTCTCCCATAGATTCTTTTTTATACATGCCAGAATCGTTCTCCCTGTCCTTATTTCTGACTGCCCTCACACTTGACCTATTTAGCACCAACATTTTTTTGTCAGATCTCAAGAATCATTTTTTTAGGGAAACCATTTCCTGACCCCTCTTACTGGATGGAGCAAGCCTCCCTATTATATCTGCTCGTAGTTTCATGTAGCTCTCTTAGTAGAACCTATCAGCTCAATTTTACAATTAAAAAAAATTATCGTCTCTTAGATTGAAAACTTAATGAAAGCACAACTTATATATTTTTGCCAACATTAGCAGATGTACGCCTGGGCACACAGCTGATGTTAAAGAAATGTTGAAGGAATTAATGAGTATCGAGACAAACCTTGCTTGAAAAATTGCCTTTTAATTTGTATTGTGAGAAAAGAAGTCAAAACTCCTAGATTGGGTGTAGAAGAAGGTTTATTGTAAGAATAGATAGTTGGTAGTACTTGGTGGGTGTTCTTAAGTTGTATACAATTTTAGTAGGGTTAAGTTGACCAATCTGACTTGCCACATTTAAATTAGAATGAGAATCAACAGAATCAATCTTACCTTCTAATGTAAAACAGTTTACTTATGCTTCTGAGACATGTTTGACTGAATTGTATGTTAAATGAGGATAATGAGGACCAGAAAGATCAAGATTATTGACCTTGCTAGAGGTAGAACAATATAGGCTAAAATTACAGGTTGTTCTTACTGTTATGCAGCTCTGTCTCTAGCAGCTTCTTTTAATTCCTTTTTCTCACTCAACCTAGAAACAAGTTCTGGCCTAAGAATAGCAAAAATAAAAGGCAAAGGGCTTTTCTTAAAGGTTGAAGGTGGTGCAGAAATGTACAAACAGCTGTAAAAATCAGTTGCTGTGTGGGAACCTCTCAGGGAGTTATCCTGATGGCACAGTGCCCTCTGGTGTTAAGAAGGGGTTCTTACATCATATGCACCTTTAAAGCTAAGCGTGATCATGGGAGCTTCTACAGATCTCAGATCCAGAGCACAACACACTATTATGCAACTTTTGTGTATTTACCAACAAAAAACTGCTGATTGACACCCAGTGTTATAGTTTACACCCACTGCCTTACATACTTTTTAGGACAGTGACTCTCAACAGCTCTGCCTTGAGAAGTGGACCAAAATTATTTGTGAACTATGCTACAGATAACATTACAAATAATAGAAGATTGCATATAATCAACATTTTTAAAATATGAATTAGAGAAGATTCAAGATTATCTATAATAATCTCTTATTCACTCAAGTAAGAACATTAAAAACAGGAAGTAGAAAGGGTGCGTAGCAGTGGAAGATATGCGTGGAAAGTTCTGCCTTTCTGTTAATGCATGTTAGAAAAACACACAGCTGGGTGCCGACCGAGTGGCTCAGTTGGTTAAGAGCTCGCTCAAGAGTGTGAGCTCTGAGCAACAGCAGTTCAATGCCCAGCCCGAGCTGAGATGCCACTAAGCTGCCAACAGGTGGCAGGATGGCTCAGCTAAAAAAAATTTAAAAAAAAAGAATAAATAAAAAGAGAAAAACATACAGCTCAGACATGGCACATGGCTAGGTGTGAATCTGACTACTGGAAAAATGAGGAGAGGTACTCTTTTGGTGGCAATAAAGAGGCTCATTTGGTGATTTTGACAAATGGAGAATTTATTCTAAAGCTACATGAAGTAGAAAGGGAAACATGAGTCTCATCTGTGTAGCCAGGCTACATGGATCGCAGGAAAAAACTGAATAATTGGGCCTCATGGGAGGCTGCAAAAACCAGCTTGATGATTTATGGGACTCTGAGGTCCTCTGTCGTAACAGGAAGTTGTGACTTTGAACTCTCCTACTCCACTAGTACCATGATTCAGTTACTCCTGTCTCTTGCTCTTCCTGTTTCCAGCTGGCCAATTTACTCTGTATGTCCTGGTTCAAAGTCCCAAGAGGAAGGATCAGAGTAGCTGACTAATTACCAAGCCACATAAATCACAGGCCAACTTATGGGCTGATGGGTCATTCCTTAGGGTTAGGTGCCTTCCCTGGTCTAATGAGCAATGGCTGGGAAGCTGGTCACATGGTACAGCCATCGTGGTGCAGGGCTCAGTTGCTTTCTTTTTTATGGACTGTGGGCACCTTTAGAAGGAGATGCTGAGCTTGATAGGTGCTATGAGTGATATCTCCAAAGCAAAATGTGTTTGATTCATTTGGCAGTATTTTCAGCTACTTACTATAAAGAAATGTGGGTGCTATTTAGCTTTAAAAAGGGTCTAGAGGTTTTTGCGGTAGTGTTTTAGAGGAGGAGAGGCAAGGGTGCTTAACTTCTAACAACATCTAACAGAACTATAGCTGTTCCATGGGATGCACTTTGGAAAATGAGACACTACACTTGTAAAGTGTTTGTATTTATGATAAAATTACCCACCAATCACATTTGGAGTGGCATCATACTTTCTAAATAAATCTTAGTGTATCTTTTAGTTTAAAATCCTTAAACTAAATCCTTAGAGCTATAAGACATGTGGTCCCTGGGCTAGCCAAGTGGCGCGTTGGTTAAGAGCTGGCTTAGGATACCAGAGGGCCCCGGTTCGGATCCCACATATGCGGGCCAGTGACACTGCCCTCTACAGCTAAGATGCTGAATTGGAGCTGGGCTGCTGTGAGTTGCCTGGCAACGGCTGCGTAGGCTGCAGCCCCTGCTGCAGTGGGTTGCCATGGGCTACCGTGTGTTGCCAGCAGCCAACGTGAGCGGCCAGCAGTCACTGTGAGCAGCCTTCCAGAAGCCAGTGGCAGACTGATCTGCCTCGCCCAGGAAGAGCGCAATGATGGTGCCAACTTGAGCCAGTGAATCAACGTCCTCCACAACTAGACTGAAGAACAAAAGGACAGCAACTTGTCTGTTCCCCTCCCCCCAATTCCCCAATAAAAATCTTAAAAAAAAAAAAAGACATGTGGTCCCTACTGATGTGATTTTTCCCCCTTCTTATTTCATTGCAATTCATGCTACAAATTGTTTTATATCTGAAAAAGATGGTTAAAATTATGAATTCAGTTGAAATGATACCAACCATGGTGCAGATTCATGCCACTGCAAAATAAATCTCTGTGGACAGCCACACAGAAGATAATGCTGATGCAAATTTAGAAGATGATGTTTATTCAGGGTACAGGCATAAAAACTCTGTCAGCTTAAAACTCACCCAATAATTCTTTGAGTATTTTCCACCAAATATTTCTGGTTTCCCTTTCAAATCTGTCCAAAAGTTCTATGGGCACTTCAAATGACAATGTCTACTTCTAGTAAGTGATTCCAAAATAGAAAGTCTGTCTGCACCTTGAAAAGGGCACTCTACCTGGTATTTGAATCCTGGCTTTTTATTGAATCCTGGCTTTTTATAAGTGAGTTATTCCAGTTTGTTTAGAGACCTCGCTTCCCATCCTTTGTTAGATTTAATTTGAGAGGATCTTAGTTATTGTTTTGCTCTAATAACATCTAACACATTCGCCGCTTCCATTACCTTTTTGAAGAGCGCTCCTTTTCTCTACTACCTTTGAAATTATTCCATTTTATAGCTATCGATTCCTTAAAGATATCATTTTTCCTTTCTTGCCTCTAACATAATAAATTGTTTCTTAAAGGAACCTGTCTCTTCCTCCAGCGTGATCAGCATGTCTTTTATTTTGTTTTCAGTCTTCTGTTGCTCATTTCTCATAGTAAAACTAAAGCATATTTTTCAAGCTTCTCTAGTTTTCTTGGATCTCCTAAGAATATTTGCTTCCCAGTGACTGTGACTTCAGACACAGATCTTTTTAAAAATTTAATTACCTTCCCACCTCTAGGTTTTCTATCATTTAATTTAATTTTACCCCCTATTTTAATCCCCCCAAAGAGCATATTCTCCTTATAATA